AAAAAGTACGCAGTACAGCTTTCGTCTTCCCACGTGGAGTTACTATGAGTCGGCGTTGACTTAGTGGTAACTGGTATATCTACTTCAGAGTTTTCCTTGTTGATACCAGCTTTTTCTGATTTCTAAGTTGTAAAAATTCTTTTTATTTCTTTATCCAAGTGCTCTATCAGATGTATGATTTGCAAATATTTTCTCCATTTTTGGCTATATTTTACATTTTCTTCATAGCTTCCTTTTGAAGAATAGAAGTTTTAAATTTTGAACTCATTTTGTTCTTCTATGGATTTTAGTATTATATTTTAAAAATCTTGGTATAAAATGGTCACAAACGTATTCTCCTTTGTTTCCTTCTAGAAGTTTTATGGTTTTGAATTTTAGGATTAGATTTGCAATTTAATTTGAGTTAGTTTTTTTACATAATATAGTATGGATCAAAGTTCACTTTTTCATATGACTATCCAAGCACCATCGGAGTCCTGGTGTGGCACTGTAGACTGAAAAGCCGTTTGAACTGCAATGTCAGCGGTTCAAGCTCACCAGCTGCTCCTTGGAAACACCCTATGCAGTGTCACTATGGCTTGTATTCAACTCGACAGCACTTAAAAACAACATCATCCATGCACCATTTGTTGAAAAGACTATTCTTTCTCCTTAATTGATTTTACATGTTAACCACATATGCTGGACTCGCTCTTCTGTTCTTTAGACCTATTTGTTGGTCTTTATGTTAATAGCAAACTGCCTTAATTACTGTTGTTGGTGGTGTTGAGTGCAACTGATTCAGTTGTGTTTCACAGTGACCCTGTATAGTGTTTTCCAAGGAGCGACTGGTGGATTTTAACTGCACTACACCAGGATTTGTTAATTATTGTTGTTGCTGTTAAGTGCCGTCAAGTTGGTTCCGACTCACAGCGACCCTGTATAGGGTGTCTGAGGAGCAGCTGGTGAGTGTGACCACCGACCTTGTGGTTCAAACCAACCTTGCGGTCGAGTGCTTTTCCTGTGGCGCCATACCAGGACTCCTAACTACTGCAGAGGTCTGTAATATAACTAGACTCAAGACATAGTAGATCTCTAACTGTTCTTTTTTAATCTTTTGCATTTCCATATGAATTCTATAATTAGTTGACAGTGTCTCCAGAAATAATCTTCTGAAAGTTTGGATTTGGACTGCATTGAGTGTGTACATCATTTGGGGAGAATTGACATCTTTATGTTATTGAGTCTTCTAATGCATAAATGCGGTATCTCTTCACTTGTTAGCTTCTTCTTCCATTTCTCTCAGCAGTTTTCTTCCTTTCAGGATATGGTCTTTCACCCCAAATTTTTCTTAAATAAAGCATATTTTAATGCCGTTGTAAAATTGGAAATTTTTGATTCTTGTGTTAATTTTACATAGAAATTATTATCTGTAAGGTAAGCTTGTATCCAGCAGCCTTGCTAAAGTCGCTTGTCAGTTCCAGTGGCTTGCTTTTTCTGAGTTCTCAGTTGTTCTGTAGATGAAAAGCCAGGATGTGAGCATTGAGTGTCCCGATGAATGGTGTGGCTTCTGTGCCTGCTCTTCCTCACCTGACTCAAGCTTTGTCCAGATGAGCATGTCTGCAAACAAAATGTTTTATTTCTTCCCACTTTTTGGTAAATTCAGGCGGCAGGGTAAGTTTGGTCTCTTTTACTCTGTCTTGGTTGGAGGTGAGAGGACCTTATTTTACTTTTGATGGTAGTCAATTCTTCTTTGACCCTTGACTTAAATGTTCGATGGTAAAACCGATCCAGTTTTTATATTGATGATTCTTAACCTTTTCTGACTCATGGAATTTCTGATACAAGTAATGTATCTGCTTTTTATAAGCATTTGCATATACAAGCTCATATTTCCATATGTAATCTCAGTGGTCCACAGAATCTGAAGGCTTATCCGTTGATTCCATGCTATGAATCCTGGCTTTAGGATTTCTTCATATCTTATTCCTAGAAAAGTCTTCCATTTCAATGAAGCACTTTTGGAATGAGTATATCTTTTATTCCTTTATGTATACAGAGAGATTCCAGTTAACCTTTTCTACAGGCAGATAAATTTTCAAAATCATTTCTTTTCAATAATTATACAAGATAATGTGTATAAAAGCTGCAGGAGTTATTGTGCTCATAATCATTGTCATTGTCATCACCATTGTCCTGATCATTCACCCTGTGAACCATCTACCAAGGGACTTCAAAAAGTTCGTGGAAAGTAGAATTTAACAATATTAGAGTTTTTCCATTAGCTTTTTGAAGTGCCTCCCCCCTCCCCCACTTGTATTCTACTCTGGTCAATCAGTCCAAAGAAAGAATCTCATTTAAGGTAAATTGTTTTGTGAAGATATTTAGGATGCATTTTGTGGAGTAAGGAAAAGTGCATTCGAAATATTCATCAGTCGTTGCTGGTGGTGTTAGTTGCTGTCAAGTTGATTCTCACTTATGACAACCCCGCATATGCAGAATAGAGCTGCTCACTAGGGCTTTCAAGGCAGTGACCTTTTGGATGCAGGTCACAAGGACTGTCTTCCCAGGGATGTCTCTTGGTGGGTTATTAAGCATTTAACTGTTTTCATCACCTGGAACACCACATAAAATAATACATGTGAAAAATAGAAGAAGGAGATAATAGAAATATGGAAACAATTTTAGGGAGATGAATGTGTGAATAATAATTAATTGTTTTAGCATTGTCATTAATTTTATATTACTAAGCTTTTGATGCAATTTTTTATTTACGTTTTTATTGTGAATTGGGTGATAGTTTACATGGGAGAACATCAGTGTTACATTCAGCCTATTGTATTTCGTTTCGTTGCAATGATTACAATCTCCTCTATACATCATCATTCAACATTTGGTTCCATTTCCTTTGGGGTTTTATTGTGTTTTGTTTTGTTTTTTATGTACACCGAAGCACTCAGGAATATAAAACCATTCAAACAACCAAAGGGCACACCCCACAAGCCAGCCCCTGGCTCACTCGCTCTCTCTCTCT